CGGCAGGTTTGTGCTGCTGCAGGGTCCTGCCCAGGACCGTTTAACCTCAACACTTTTCACTTTGCTTCTCTCTGTTTTTTTTTCTTGTATTTCTTATTCAGCTGATGCCTCTTGCATAATGAGGAGGCTGGGTTTTTTCTCTGTTGTACTTTGAGCCCTGCTTTTTTAAGATGATGCCAGAAAACTGCCTGATTTAGCCTGGGTGGTTCTAGTTTTACTTGCAAAAGAATTGCTTTCCTTTATATCTCGATTTCTCTTATGCAAGTGCAGGAGAAAAAGGGAACAACATGTTACATAGAGGATGAAAAGCAGTTCGGGTAAGGGATGACGGGACAGAGCAGACAGGTATCTAACTAAAGAGGTTTCATTTCAGGATATTTCAGACTGCAGGTCTCTGGTAAGTACTAACAGGGGGTGCAGCAGAGGACCACTGCAAAGTCAAATTCCTCTAAAATTGGATCATCCATGAGGACAGAACTGGGCTGGAAACCTAGTTTGCAAGGAGACGTCTGACACTTCTTGCTCTCCAGCCAGATCATATGAAAAGCTTTGGCAAAGCATTTGGCACTCACAACATCTCATAGCAGGAAAAAAGTCACATTTGCAAGTGCAGAGGAAAACAGTAACCTGCTGATTCCCTTGGCCTCTTTCATAGGCGCTGGGGGGGTTGCAAACAGAAACTGCACTTGAATTGCCTGCACGTAGAGGACTTGTTGTCTGTGTGCAAAGCTCCTGCAGTTAGCCGCTTAGTAGTTGGAGACTTGGCTGGAGAAAGGAGGAGAGAGAGGAAAGCCAGAGTTTCAGGAGCACAGGAACTTTCATGGAGAAACTGGATGATAAAGCAGTGCTTTTTGGGGAAGAGAAAAAGCACAACATAGGAGAAGTGAACTTGGAGCTAGGAAGCGATGGTGAACGGTTTCCTGCAGGAAGCTGCTGCACTCGGGGAGAAAGTTATGAAAACCCACAAGTCCTTAGAGAGGCAGATGAGAACACCAGAGGTAGGCTTAGGGCTGAGCGATGAGCTGGGTTTAGGACAGGTGAAGGTATCTGTGGTGTAGTTTAGCTCATATTATCAAGTGAGCACACTGGGCACCCACAGGGTGCAACCATCAGTCTCGCGATGAGCTGCACGGTGTCTTTGAATGTCCTGTCAACTTCTAGGGGTCTGAAAGGGGGGGAGGTACAACTGGAAAACAACAACAGGAATTTTAAACGGGATTTCATGTGCCTGTAGTGGTGATGCTACTTGTTGGTCTTCTCTCCTTTGTGGATGGCATAGCCTTGGGCTGTCTTTACATGAGGTGGCACAAGTGAGTTTTTTGCATATCAGCACATCCAGCATCCACATGCATGCAAAAATAGAGGCTTAGTGTTTGCAGGGAGGAATTTACAGCACAGAATAATACTCCAATACTGCAAATGGATCAACTGTCGTACCTTAAGGTCTCCTTTAGAAAACACAATAAGTCTCAAACCAAAGTTTTGATTGCAGAGCCCAACAGAAAGTCTCCAAAACGGCTCAGCTGAGATTCGAACACTCCAGCCCCAGGAAGTCAAATGGCCTCGTGGTCGGGCTCTGACATATTTCCACTGAAAAAGAAATAAAAAAATGAAAGCTTATGGATGGTTAGTGCTTTGAAATCTTTCCGTAGAGACATGGCAGAACGCATCCATCCTGGGCAGAGAAGGGGATTTATTTTGTTATAAAGCTCTCCTTCATCTCCTTGGATACCAAGAGGCAGACTGAGTTTCCAGAGTACATTTCTTCTCACCTCCGCATTGGTGACTCTTCCTTCCTTACCTTCACTAAGCTAAGCTAAAGGGCAAATCTGGGCTTGAGGAGGTTTTACTACAACTTCTTGTAGTGCCCAGTGACCTTGAGGAGTTGTGCAGAAATGAAGGGTAGTGGTCCTCCGAAGGCTTGAGCAAAGATAGTGTGGAAATTCGTTATGGTCCGTACCTCTCGCGTAGGAGAAGATGCAGGGGTGGCTCAGCGCAGCAGTGCTCCTTCTCTCTCCTG